TATTTCAGGTAAACAATTGTACTTGTTCAATTCACAATATTTGTTGCCGGGATACCCGAAACCGTTAACAGCATTTGGCCTGCCTGCAAGTTTGGAAAAACTGGACGCTGCCATGGTTTGGGGTCACAACGGCAATACTTATTTCTACAGCGGCTCTATGTACTGGAAGTAGGTTAAAAACTAACTTCTTGATTGAACCTCGTTTCACATTTTGTTTGCAAAACATTCAAAACAATTTATCTGTTTCAGATATGACGAGGAAAAAGGTCGCGTTGACTACGATTACCCTCGCAACATGGCAATGTGGAAAGGCGTAGGCTATAATATCGATAGCGTGTTCCAGTGGAAAGATGGTACGAAAATCTACTACAAACATATCTTTCTACACATATAGCAAATTAAAGCTAAACTGACGAACTAAATTAATTGTCTTTGTGTTAAATTTTTTAGGTAAAACTTACTTCTTCAAAGGCAAAGGTTTTTGGAAGTTCAACGACCTTCATATGCGCGTTGAAAATGATATACAATATTCATCAGCGTCCTTCTGGATGAGATGCCCAACTGAACGCTCTGGTCGGCGCGCTGGCTACAAGGCCCCACCCGCGCCCGGCTCAACCCTACGCTCACCCAGTGCTGCAACTAATTTATCTATCAATTTACTAACGTTCTTATGCTCTACACTTTTAATAGTGACTACTTATATTAGGTACTGTTAGACCTTTTATCCTTTACATAATTTATTTCTACGACTGCAGCGTAATCAACTCTTGAACTTTGAATGTATACCTACTAAGAAGTAGATATTTTAGAACCAAGTGTATGACATTGGTACTTTAATTTAGTTACCTATGTAGTAATATGTAATGTACTGATAACCGTTAAGATTTGGGAACATTGTAAAAAAGATTTAGTTCAACAACAGCTAAAAGCTTTACATTACTTTACACCAACTTAAAGCCTATGTAGGTACATTAATTTGTGCATAACTGAAAGGTAAATCAACAGTCGTAATATAGCTACTTATTTAAAAAAACCTATATTCTTGTAACATTAAAGAAGTACATAAGTACCGCCGATGCATAATAACGTCTGAATCAACAAGTACATATCGGATACGTCTGAGTTAAGACTAGACTTAGTAAACTATTGCGCAAAATTGCACTGCCTGTTTAGTATTAAACAACTATCTGCGTAATTATAAGTCCTTGTAATAATGTTATTGACTAATAAAGCTAGAAGTAAATTAGATAAATAAGTAATTTTATGAATTATTATTTTTATTATATGTACATTTTGATCTCAAAACGATCGAGTGCTTGGTTAGTTAATGTCATGTAAGGTATAAAACACCATCCATTTAGCTTCTGTACAGTTTGTATTGTACTTCGATGTTTAATTGTTAATGTGGAAACCTGAAATAATTATGTTGTAACTATCCTACAGTACCTAAGTAACTAATGCTCTTTGCCATAGGTAGGTACCTACCGACGACACACAACTGCCTTAGTTATTGATATTATAATAAAGCATTTGTAGACTAATGTTGTAAAAATTGTACTCGTTTGCTTTATTTCTTATATTAGTATATACGTCATAATAATAAATAGTTGAGTAAATTATTTATATCTCTTATGCTGGTTAAAAGAGGTACACTTATACTGTAATTTGTAAATGAAATAAACTAAGTTACATAATATATAATTAAAGATATATAGATGCTATAAAATCAATGCTAACTATACTTATACATATAATGGTATGAATATATACCTACATGTATTTTAACAAATGGCCTTATGTGTACTGTGAAAAAGCTAAGGATGATGTATTATGAATTCGTGTAATCAGATTGTGTTGCCAACATGGAAATGGTAAAGTTAAACTTGGTAGAATGAATATGGTGCTTATTATAGTTAGTCATTGTACAGAATAAATTCTCTTTGGATATTTTTGTATGTTGCTGTTGTATCTTCAATCAATGTTTACCATAAAATGTCAATGATATACCTCTCCTGTCCTTGATCTCCTTCAGGAACAGAATAATGTTAACATACCTACAAAATAAAATATTCTATCTACAGTTATTCATCACATGGTTATTCTTGAAACATTTTAGAATAATCATACAAAGATAAATATTTTCGATACAGCCAATAAGGTAACTTGTATATAAAACAATGAATATAAAAACCTCTGAAGCCACTCAACATTTTAGTGTAATTAATTACCTACATTAGACTTTATAATTTCTTTGGTCACAAATAAATAATTTAATAATAACTGTGATATTTATTTTTATAAAAAATGCCACATTATACTGGCGATAAAAAGAAATAAAAATTTTCTAAAGTCTTTCTAAAATAATTACTCAATGAATAATTTTAGTTCAATGTAATATCTTTAAGTAATATTATACGTTTAATAAAGAAAATAAATACATTTCTATGATAATTAAAATAATTCTGTGTGTTATTTTACTTCCTTAGTACATACATACGACGTAATGAACCTGACATTGGTGTTAGGGAACTAGCTTATGGCTTACGTACGAATTCGCTGTCGCAGTAAAAAGAAAAATATTACCTATATCTCTTCTATCTGTCTTCTGGTCTACCTTTTTTTTGTGAGGGGAAAATCATCAAATGACTTCTCCCGCCCAGGGCCGGGCGGGAGGGAGTGTCAGACTCTTACTGATTAAAAACCCCCCTGTTCCTTCTCCTGCTCTGGGCCGAGGTCGCGGTGCCTCATTGCGCTTGCCCCGCAACCCCGGCTGAACATCAGCCCTATAGGGCCCCGTCTGTGGTGGTCTATTGGCTTCTTCTGGTCTACCTACAATATCCAGTAGCAAAAATCATGAAAGAAAAATAGACACAATATTTTTAAGTGTAAGGTTTTCATATGTAGGTACTTGGGTACTTAAAGTTAATAAGTTAACACTACCTACCAATCAAATCCACATCTCTTCTTCGATGTTCCGATTTCAAGCCATGTGATTGGTGAATCGCGGCACAGCTCTTTTCCGCTGTGCTCCGCTCCGCCTCAAAAGAACTGCACCCTTAACATATAAGAATCTGTTGTAGATAATAAGGTACCTAACATTTCACAATAAATTAAAAACATTAGATACACCTAAAAATAAATTCAAAAATATTCAAAAATCTTAAGGGTTGCGGGTGCAACTGCCATAATAATACCGTGTAATAATACACTACCGTGGTCCGGGCCGGAACGCACAAGTTTGCTTTTAGCCCATAAGAGTCTGACTCTCTTTATTGTACTATCCAGGAAATCATTAGAGAAAAACGGCTCTAATCGTGTGTCGTAAAAAGCCTAAAATTTTTAATGCTTCCCATTTTAGGGTTCCCTAGTCAACTAGAACTCCTATAGTTTCGCCATGTCTGTCTGTCTGTCCCAAATTAGCATATAGCCACATCATCATTGGTCTGTCCGTACGTGAAGACCGTCCGACCGACCGATCGTGACCTCAGTAACCGTTAGCACTTGAAAGCTGAAATTTAGAATTATTAAAACCTTTTACGCTAGTTATCCATATTACAACCAAAAACTTAATATAGTACCTATCCTGGCTATATTGGCTGGCTATATTGTTTAAATGGGATGGCGCTGTACTTATGCTACAAGTCGCTGTATTGCAGTGTTAAGATTTAAAAAACATATCTCTTATAGTGACAGAATGAAACCCTACACTGACCGTAGTACTACACTAATAAAGGAACACAAGTTAAAAGGAAAAACCATACTGGTTACACCAGAGTCACTTCCTTCTTCATCATCACTTCTATGACCATCCCATAATTTTCCAGAACAAACTAATAGATAGTCGAGGTTAGGCTCTTTTTGCTCGATAAATGCCCGTAGAGTGTCACTAAGGCGACTACTGTATGAAGACAAACGAGAAAAACATTTTTATGGAAAAGATAAAACTAGAAGGCTAGTCTTAACCCTAGTTTCAAGTATGGGAGAGCCATACTTCGGCACTACGGCGTTGTGTTTCGTCGTGTGTGTGTGTAATCTCCAGCAGGTCGACAACGCACTCGTAACTCCTCTGTTGTTGCGGGTGTCAACGGGCGGAGCTGGTTGCTTACAATCAGGTAATCTGTATACTCGATTGCTTGATTCTCACAAAAAAAAGATTGGTAATAGCGAGGCCAGAGTTAACTCTAGTTTTATGTGTCGGAGAGCCATACTTCGGCACTAACGAGTCGGCTCGACCGGAGTTTTACTACGACCTTGCAAAAAAATGGCGTGAAACAACCATAGCGTTGTTTTTCACCGTGTGAATGATATTACCGGAGTCCCATCCATGCCCTCCTCCAACACCTCCCCAATCTCTGAAATCTCCAAAACCCTAATCCCCAAAAGGATGATAACATACTCGTAACTCTTCTGCCAACAGACTTCATTATTATGTCATTTAATGTCTCATTGAAGTAACACTGACAGGTAGCCAATTTTTTTTAAATTAATAAGAGTAACTGAAATTAAAGTACATATCTTACATATCTTGTTGTTGCTGGATATTATACATATATTATAATAACTAAATAAGTGTAAAAAAATATTTTAATATTTATATTCTGTTTTGCTATATTAACTTTTCAATTGTGGTAATTAGAGACACAATAGGTGAGTGAATGCTTAGCTTGGGGTTTGATGAATTAACTAGTAAGTACAAAATGTATCATTTTTGGATTGTTTCCTTTGTATTGTCAACATCAAACACCATTTTATGTAAACTTTATATATGTAATATACTTCAAACTTTTGCGTTGCATATTAATAATTTACTGTTTCAAAACAAAGAGTATTTTTTCAATCCCATAAAACAGTAAAGTAATGTATATGTATACAACAAGAAATATTAACTATTATACCTATATACTGAGCCATGACTCAATGATCAATAGCTCAGAAGAGTTAAATCTTATGATTAAATTGTCCTACACATTGGGTATTTCTTGTCTTATGTGTTTCTGTGATAGTTACTTACCCTCAAGTTTAAATGTAACTAGATTTTTGTAACAAAAACTTTAACATAAGTACAGTAACAAAATATAATGTATACAGAAATAATAATATTTTGTGTTTTCTTAACTATACATACATTTTATAAACATATAACCTAATCAGGTATAAATATTAAAGTAGGTTATATCATGAAATAAACACTACAGATATTCTATTACTAAAATGTATTAAATACAACAAAATAGTCAACAGTGTTCTTACCTAAACCAATTAACAATATGTCATTTCTTATCTTCTGTAACTTCATTTTTAAAACCTAACTTACTCCAATCTTCTTTGGCCATTAGGTTGTTATCCATTCTACATCCAAGATATTCCTTAGCTTCATCTCGACACATAGAATTATTACCGTTATTGTTCAATAAACACTTCATATATTTTCTCATGCTAACTTTACAAACTCCATCATGATCCAGAGGAAAGCTTCCCTTATCTGGTGGGGTTGGTATGAACTGTTTTTGCCCAAAAGTCATTGCAGTCGACATGGTAGTGATTTGTAACAATTAGATTGATAAAATAATACTATAATTCATTTACCGGTAGATATATTTGCGGTAAATATTTCCAATAACAATATTATATTTTTAGTTATTCCTTTCAAGTCTTCTGTCAGGCAAGGGACAACAGCTGATCTAATGACACTTGCAGATTTTGACAGAACGTTTCAAAGACTAATTTGTTTTCGTTTAGAAACTGTCAAATCACAACACATAAAAATACCTCTTAACTTCTGGATAATAGCCAATATTTCCATTACAACTTTCAACAGTGTAAACTAAGTTAAAAGTTTCTATTCTGGGATTACCTTAGACTTACTCCATGATGTGCTGAGCAAGAAAATGTTCTAAGTGCACCAACAATCTAACTGAACCTTCAACTGTCAAAAGAAGTCAGTTGTCAACTTGTTACTGTCAAGTCAAGTGTCAGCGCAACGAAATGTGCAAAGCACATTCAAGCACGTGCTATTTATTTACAAATAGTAAAATAACTATTTTACAGTAAAATGTCTCGACTTATAGTTAAGAATTTACCAAATAAGGTATATATTTATTTAAAAATTATTTTACTGGAAAATTACATTAATGCTATAAGTCTTAATGACATTAAATGCATAATATAATAATGTGGTGAAACTTCTATAGTGTTCTTAAATTAATACACTCATAATAAATCAATTATTATTCAGCCGTGGTCTGTTTAAAGTAACGCGTCGTTATCATTTATAACATTACTGTCTATTTCAGGTAACAGTAGAAAAATTAAAAGATATATTCGGTGAAAAGGGCGAAGTAACTGATGTCCAATTGAAATACACGAAAGATGGCAAGTTTCGGAACTTTGGTTTTATTGGATACAGAACAGAAGAACAAGCGAATCAAGCGAGAGAATACTTTGATGGCACATGCATAAATTCTATGCAAATACAAGTCCAAACATGTGCAAACTTGGGTGATGAGAAAAAGCCAAAAGCTTGGAGTAAATATGCTCCAGACAGCAGCGCATACAAGAAACTCCACAAAGATGAAATTGAAGACAAAAAGAAGGCAGAAAAGAAAGAGAAAAAAGTTGAGAAAAACAAAAATAAAATTAAAGAACTTCTAAGAAAGGTAAATATAAAAGTAACCTTGTATTGTTAACTATTTGTCTATGTTACTATTTCTCCCTTAGCATCTACTTTACTTACAACTTACGAAGGTCAATTATCCTTTATAAAAGAATTTTGAACATCTTTAGGAGCTTATTGTAAAGACCACAGTAGAATCACACTCATCGGAAAATTTTGTTTTTGCAAATATTGTCTGCATCTTTTCACAAAACCATACTAATTGAACTAATCCAAACATTTTTTTTCAGCACAAAGATGATCCCCTATTTGCAGAATTCATAGAAGCCCATGTGAATGACAAAACCGCTTGGATAAAAGAAGCTTTAGATTCTGCTTCAAAGAGTGATGCTGATGATGATGATGATAATGAAAATAACAATGAGGACATTAATGATAAACAGAAAGAAACCCAAGAGCATGAAAATCCTAAAGAAGACAACAAAAGTAAGAAAGAAAAAAAAGAAGATAAACCAGAACCTAAAAAAGTTGCGGATACCGCAATCAGTGATTTAGAGGTTTGTTTTGTTACTTGCATTACCTTGACAATCCTACCTAATTAAAAAACTTGAATCTATGACTCGAACAGGGGGAAAAATAGAAAAGATTAATCTACATAAATATTTGTTCACCATAAGCAAATGCTGCTATGATAATAAATAGTAATGTTGTTTTTGTTTTTGGGAAAGGACATATAATGACAGAGATTACTCAAATTCACTAGAGTAAATTATTTGAATGGTGAACACCTGCTACCACACTCTAGGCAATTGGGTATTTGACAATTAATAACATTGAATATTTTTTTCTAATTATTACAGTTGACCATTTTTTAACTTCACACATTTTATGCTTGCTGAGGTCAAAAAATTATGTGTATATCATACTGATTTCTCAAAATGTTAATATTGAAAAATTCTTAATGAAAGTGTGATAATTTTATTACATTGAAAAATAGTATCACTTATTTGGACAAAATCAACAACCCAGTTAGGAACTTTCTATATAGGCAGAAAAAAAATCTATAGCTATAAAGTGTAATATTTTATAACATTATTCCAGTACATGAAACTATTAATGAAGAAAGTGGGAGGTCCGGGTAAGGAAAATGTTGCTGAGGAAACAAATGAACAGACTACAGAGGAACAGCAGCCAAAGAAAATAAGAAATAGGCCATTGTTTCATGTTAAAGTAAGTACAAAGTATTTAAAAACAAGGTTGCTGTGGTGACTGAACAATCAGAAGTGTATAACTTTTTTGGTTTTTTGTTAATTATGGTTTGAAGACCTGTGTCTACTTTGAGTGAAAGGATTTTGAACATGATGCCTTATAGTGATAAGGCATCATGTTCAAAATCCAAAGGCCCAGTTGTTAACAACAAATAAAATTTGTATGTCATATATATATTTTGTTCAATTTGGATATTAGTATTTATTTCTATTTTAAGATTCTTAGTAAAAGCAGAGTGAATTGTGACAAATGTATATAGGCCTTATGTTATAAACCTTCTAGTCATTACATACTTTAAATAAATTAAAGTTAATGTATTGTTTCTTTTTCAGATTATGGGTTTACCTTACAAATGTAAGAAAAAGGATATTAAAGAATTCTTCAGGCCACTTGTCCCCTTTTCAATAAGATTGCCTTATGGGAAAGGAAAGAAGGTTACTGGTTTTTGTTACGTTGGGTTTAGAACTGAGAAGGAGCTTAAAAAGGCTTTAGGAAAAGACAAATTGTTTTTAGGTAAGTATTAAAAAATCAATACTCCCACCTGCCACTGATTGCTTATCATCAAATGATGTCATAATGTCTAATCATTTGCTGTCCTAGAAGTCATTTTCCTAATTTTGGCTACCCATTCACAACCAAAGCCCTGTGTTTCGTCCTGTGAGTGAGGTTACTGAGGCTTTTTACCCCACCCCTTAGCCCTAATCCTCAAATCCCTAACTCCCAAAAGTCCGGCAGCGCATTTGCAACTCCTCAGATATTGCGGGTGTCTTGACACCGTCGTTTGCTTAACGTCAGATAATCTTCCTTCTGCCCTATCTTCTGCAGCTAGCTAAAAATAATTTTTCAAAAAACTTTGTGATGACTTGTCTAAAAATACATATTTTTAACAATAGTAATTTTTGTTGAAGGTAATCATCGAATTCATATACACAAATATGAAGATAAATCTAAATTAGCTGCAGAGCAGGAAGAGGAAACGAGTAGAAAGAAAAGAGAAGAGGTAAAATTTTATTTTTAACTGTCACTATGAGCTCATACAAACCCAGGTAATTTACAAGATATGAAAAATAAGCCAAGATTGTGAGTGAAGAAATGTTGGCACATCAAGCATTTTAATAACCCCTAATGTTAAACCCATTAAGGCAACGTTAAGTATATTCGCCAAGGGACTACATGCCTAGACAGCTTGCCTAATGTTGTTATGATAAACGAGTTTACCATGTTCGGGTCTTGAACTGGCCTGCTGCTCGTCAACGAACTAACCGGATGTCTGTAATGAATGCGGTAAAATTTCGATCAACGTAAAAATAACTCGCACCAGGCACTCTGATAGGCCTGCTCGTAGTTAACCAACCAATCACAGGGCTATACGTGGTAATGTTGCTGTTTTGATTGCATTGATAAAATTAAATGTATATAAGGGTTACTTACACAAATTGACACTGATGTGTGCGCATGCGCATGCGTAACGCCATTTAATCCCCAAAAACCCTCTCGGAAATAAGATGGCCGAATGTCAAAATGGGGCAGACTTCAGAGACCTATCTGCCTACTGGCTCTCGCTATTTACGAGTTTTGTAATGAGTCTCATGTATAATATTATGGAGCTAGCTTTTATTGATACTGATAACAACCGCAAAACCTAATTTTTCATTATCTAGCCCGGCTCTGGCAGCTAAACGCTAGCTATACCTATTGCTTTGCTTTTTCGGTGGGTATACAAGTTCACAAATAGGTACCTCGATGTTGGTAGAATATTCTATATTTTACATCTGTTGTGTTTATCATAAATAAAATAGTTGTATTGTGTATCCGGTACAGTTCGATACGGTGTAGGTAAATATAGCGTGTCTGTAGGAAATACAATCATTCATTGTGTGTAGCTGGGCATTGCTAATTCATCAATCATTTGCTGTGACGTCATTGTACGGAATCGTGCCACACATTTACTTGAGAAATACATTATAGGTACAATGCAAGAAAGTCTGATTAGTCTTATAAAGTAGAACCTACCTACTACCTATAGGATCTTTTTGTAGATGCTGAAACCTCACTGGCTTCAAAAACTGTAACGAAAACATCGTCATACGACATTTCAAATGAGTCGTCGAAGTACCTACTATAAAAATAGGCAATCAAATATTATTACTCATTTAATATTACCTATGTGATTCACTATTTTTAAATAATCAAATACAATACACCTATACTTATAGTTATCTTAGTAACATTTATTAAAAGGTGCCTAATAATAATATATGTTTTAGTCAAAATCCTCATTCTCTGGTTTTTACAATGTAGGTACTTAGGTACCTACTGATTTCCTAGAATGAATACGTTTACATAACAACTGCGCGCCAGTTGTGTTATACGAATTCCGTTATTGTGTTGATAGTTATCACATCGCAGATTGATAACCATCGAGTTTTGTAACAAACTATTCGTATTAAAAATCCAATTAATTTGGAACTCTTATCATTGACATCAGTTATTTCTTTTGAAGGAAAATTATCTATTAATTATCGCTAAGTGGTTGGGTATAGATATTTTATGTAAAGATATTTATATCTATCTAGAACACCAGGGTATAGATGCCTTTTCTCTCAAAAATGTTCACTATTCAATATTTAAAAATAGAAATGAATTGGCTGCCTCATTGGATGAATAATGTCATACATAACTGTAGAGTTTGGTCCGTTCAGATCTGGAACTAGCAGAACATAATTGATACTTTCCATTTCTTCATTATGAATGATAGTAGGTATGTACCTACTGTTGCCTAAGCCTTTAGTCATACCTACCCATTTTAACTGTAAACCTCATAATCTGTTTGGCAAAAAGTTGTGCTGGCACTTAATAAGTATGTAGTACCTACACCTTCGCCTATTCTGTCCCTTTAGATTGAAACTAATTTCGAAATAATAAAATCACGGAATAATTTTACTTTTCACTCACAGACTCGAGATTCGGGTCGAATGTGTAACATATTTTTTATTTTCAGTCTTCAAATAACGAAGAAAGTATAGGGGAAAGTGGGAGTATATTTGTTCGGAATCTGCCGTACGTGGTATCCGAGGAGGAACTCACAAGCTTATTTGAGAAATATGGTAAGTAGCAATTGAAATTAATGTTCCATTTAGACTGTCGGCTGGTAATTAACGTGACCAGGGTTTGACGTGATTCCCGCATAGAGTAAAACTTTACTTATACTAGTTTGACCTGGAAGTTGCAACAACTAAACACAAATAATCACTTGTTAGAGTCTAATCTCAGAATTCAGATCAAGTGTACTTCATCATCAGCCCATAAGTGGCCACTGCTGAGCAAAGGCCTCTTCTCACACGGAGAAGGTTTGAGCATTAATCACCACGCTTGCTTAATGCGAGTTGTTAATTTCAAACTTATAATTAGAAATTATAAGTCTAGGTTTCCTCCCGATGTTTACCTTCACCGTATGACAGTGGTGTCTTTAAATAATCATAGAAAGTACTTACATATAACTCGGAAAAAGTCACATTGGTAGGTACTTGCCAGGTTTCGAACCCACACCCTCATGCATGAGAAACGGGCTACTTACCCTTAGGGCCATCACAACGACTTTACGATCCAGTTTACTGCAATAAGTATTTTTTTTACCGACGTGGGTATCGATCTTGTGCCCCCTTGTTCGGCAGTATTATGCAGTGTGCTAATTTTATTATTGTCGCACAGGTCCTCTAGCCGAGGTCAACATGCCAATAGACCCAATCTTGCGGCAACCGAAAGGTTTCGCGACGGTAACGTTCGTGATGCCGGAACATGCGGTGAAAGCATACACTGAACTAGACGGCACAGCGTTCTGCGGCAGAATGCTACATCTGCTACCCGCCAAGTCTGAGAAACTCGAAGATGATGAAGACGATGGTATGTATAACTAACATTAATAGGGTACTGAAACTTACTTTATCTGCGCCTTACACATATTAATACCATACTAGCGGTCGCTCGCGTGGATGTCGATATTACACATTTAAAAGGTTTTTTTAATTATCTCTACATACAAACCTCCTCCGGGTTTCTACGAATGATTCAAAATTTAAAATTGGTTAAGGCATTGTTGAGTTATAACCTTACAACAAAAATGTATACCATATAAAATTAAAATTTTCCATACTATAATCTGAGTTTGCACCAATTTTCATCCAAATCCGTCCAGTTATTACATAAGCCTAAACTATCACATTTATTTTTTTATTATTACCTACTAAAATTAATTTTGTTACATAACCTAATGCCGCTAAGTAATTCAATCGAAATATAAAAAAGTACATTCAATTTAAAAATTAGATTTTTTCCTAGTAGCTAACAAAGCTACAAAAACACCATCCTGACATGTTCCCCGTTTAGTTGTACTTCAATTCAAGATTTTAAAAGTGCTTAGCAGTCGATAAGGCCTTACTAACTGGCTGTTTACCTAGCTAGCTTCATAATTGTATACATTTACTTTCAAATAAACTTTCTTTTTTACTTTCCCTTAGCAAAAGAGATTAAAATTAAAAGCGATGAACTCATGAATGACCTCAAATGTTATTAACATAATCTGCGTACTAATGATGTGAAACCGAATCCATGTAATTACACAAATCTCTAATCACTCGCTTCGTTCGTCACGGCTGCTGTGAAGATTTTGATATGGCTAGCGGAAACCTACAATGTTATAGCTTGTCAACAACATCTGTAAACCTACAGTTTACTAGATAATTGAAAGATTTTCTTTATTTGTATAGCATTATAATGCCTATCTCATTCCAATTATCGTACGAAAACAAGCCATCTCCCTGGGCTTCCTAAGAAATACCTTTATCTTTATACCTAACAAAAATAATGAACTAAGTATTAGCTCCCTGACTTGCTAACATACCAGATACTATCATAATTTATACCCTTTCAGCTTGTAGATACTGCTCATTAAAGATTTCAGCATTTTTATAAATCCCGTTGAGTACAGATAAGCGTAGGTAATAATATGTTAGTGTACATTATCAAAAAAGAACGATAGTTGAAAACGTTATTTAAGACTTGCTTTTAAAATCGTTATAGACTTTGGTTATCGTCTCATAAAATGTTAGGCACTCTCATGATTTTTACAATGCAATCGGCAATGAAACTTCCTACGTAATAAAAACTATGGGTACATATTTTGCATAATCAATACTGATTTAGTTGTTGCTACTATTATTCACCCGAATAGGTACATACATAGCCTCTAATAAATGACGTAGATCAACCTCAATAGGTATCTAAATAAGTTAGAATATATAACCGATTAAAATAATATCTCCAATTTCAGTGTTTAGAGTAGGTAATATTTTGTATCCATTCATTTTAAGCATAGATAGCCGCTTTACATAAGTACCTACTAGTTAGAGTAAATACTAAGCACTCTATCAAATGTAATAAAACTATATAGATGTATCTACTTTGACATAATTTATTTAGAAATCGGTAAGTAAAAGGGAAGTTATAAAAGCAATTGAACAACACAATTATTTTGTTGAATTCTACGGTATAAGTACCGACGTCGATTTCAAATGTATTTCCTTTACAGAAGGTCTATCGTTCAAAGAGAAGAAAGCAAAGAAGCTAAAAGCGCAAGCGAAGTCTTCCCACAATTGGAACGTATTATTCCTTGGCACCAATGCAGTCGCTGACGTCATCGCATCTACCTATAACACCACTAAGGAACAGCTACTCAATGATAATAACAAGAGTAAGTCCAAATTCTTGATAATCCACATTAATCACAGTCTTTAAGTATGAAAGTGCCATAATTTTGCTTAGATAACGACGTATTTGTATGCTTTAATGGTGTTTTATTGCGACTACATAGATACAAGCGCTGCTGTTCGATTAGCCCTTGGTGAAACACAGCTAGTCGCCGAAACCAGAGCTTTTCTTGAAGGAAATGGGGTGTATTTGGAAGCATTCAATAAAGTAAGTTCTAGATAAGGATCTACCTACATAATCAAGTAGAAAATTTAAAGTAGAGATGCTATGTACCTACTTATATTGTAATCATTTAATTGCCTACAGCCCGCAAAAAAGAGATCAAAGACGTGCATTCTTGTCAAAAATTTACCAGCAAACACCGAAAAAGAAGAAATAAAGTCTTTGTTTGTAAAACACGGTCAGATAGCAAGATTCTTAATGCCACAACATGGCATAACAGCCCTTGTTGACTTCATTGAACCGTTTGAAGCAAAAAAGGCATTCACAAAACTGGCATATTCACAATTCAAGAGCGCGCCGCTATATTTAGAATGGGCGCCTGAAAATGTGTTTATAAAATCTGCTGAGAAAATTGATTCGGATAAAAATACGAATGCGACGCAATCTGATGACGTACAAGATGAAGTTGAAACCTCATCTTCCACCGCACCTGTACCTAAAGAGCCTGTTAGCAATAATCAAAAAGTTCAAGAGAAGGATGAAACAGAACTGGAAGAACCCGAAAACGATACAACGCTGTTCGTTAAGAATCTTAATTTCAAAACAAACGAAGATAGTCTAAAAGCGGTGCGTATTCAATTATCAATCACTTTTGTTAACCGAATGTGCCCATAAACTTTCATAACTAAGTAGGTACTTTGTTTATTAAACTTTGTTTATTTATGTGATAAATTGTGTTTGTAGCATTTTTCTACGGTTGGTAAAGTACACAGTGTGTCTATTGCGAAAAAGAAGGATCCAAAAAATCCTGGCCAGTTTCTTTCAATGGGCTATGGCTTCGTGCAATATTATAAAAAGGAACACGCCAATGAAGCCCTTAAAAATCTGCAAGTTACTACTTTGGATGGAAAGTCTCTGGAATTAAAGAGATCAGAAAGAGGAAATACGTAAGTCCTTAATTTACCAGATCGTGTCTATAGTATGCTTATTTTTCGCGAGAGTTATTAATATGCTTTTATAATTTTATTTTACAGAAATGAAGTAAGAACTTCTAAGAAGAGCAATAAAGATACGGCTCAAAATGGCACAAAAATTCTCGTACGAAATGTACCGTTTCAAGCAAATAGAAATGAATTACATGAAATTTTTCGGTAAGATCGGAGGCGCTTAGATATAGTACGTGAACAGGAAATAAATAAAATATATAAGTAAAAATTGTTTAAAACACAGTTAATGAACTGATATGGAGTAACAAAATTACTGTTAATAGGCTATTATTACCAACGTTAAACAATTTCAATTTCGTTATCTATTATACAGTATTCATGCCGTGATTTGGAATTACAGGGCTTTTGGTGAAATCAAAACTTTACGACTGCCTAAAAAATTAACTCCTGGATCGGACCAACATCGAGGTTTTGCATTTGTAGACTACTACACGAAAGCTGACGCCAAGGTAGAGTATTTTTTACATTGTATCACTTGTAATTACCATCTAAATAAAATCATTAACGAGTGTTACTTTTTGTTTAGTCTGCCTTCGACGCACTGTGCCAGTCGACCCATCTTTACGGGAGGAGACTAGTGTTAGAGTGGGCGGAGCAAGGTGATGAAACAGAAGACGTCGCCTTGTTAAGAAAAAGAACCGCCCAAAGTTTTAATGCGCAAGCTCCAGGAGGCAAGAAATCTAGAAAAGGTGCTGTTGATGTTGAAAAATTCGTTGAGGGTGATGATAGTGCTATGTAAAATAAATTATTATATAATTGAATTTTCTGGTTTTATTAAGTACCTATATTTTCATTTTGTATAATAAATCAAACAAAATTGTATTATAATTATTCGTCTTTATTTTATGCCAAAATAGTTACAAGTGAATTGGATGGCATACATGTAAATTTGTCGTGACTTTAGTTTGTTACAATGGCGAACTATGAAGAATCGCAATAAGTTTCCAGAACTAAGGTACTCTTAATTTATTAATGCCCTAGTATTTACAAAGTTAACACAGATTTGAATAACATAATGATAACAGTTTTTGAGGCATTTCTTTAACTTTCAATGTTTCAATTAAAACTATAAAGAAATATATTATTATATTTGACAACTAAACAAACTTATGATTTAGTTTTTAGAGAAATGTTTACTATAAATATACCACCAGTCATTGCACTATCAGTGAAGTACCAGTACCATTAAGATATCATAATTTAACACTATAAAGACTGGGAAATATTTACACACAATTACAATAGCATGATGGTAATCTAGGAATCCTAGTTATAATATTATGACTAAAATTATAATTAAAATACAATATAATAACAGAACAGATTGGCCAGTTCATAAATTACTCTAGATATACATAATTATATTGTTTATATAGCATACCATCATAACTATTTACTATAAAATTATACCACAATAACTTGAAATGTCACATGCACCTTCCTCTTTCTCTTAGCTTTAATACTCTCATATTTAGCATTATAATCAAACTACATGTTCTATTCAATTCAGCTTTATATTACATACAATTTGACTACTAGTTTATATTTTTTCACACTTAAAATATTATAGGACACATTGCAAACAATGAAAAAGATTGAAGTATGATAATATACCTACATGAGTAGGTCTACTACTATGATGATGTTGTTTTAATTGAAAACATGACAAAACATATCATGGCAGTGATAAATAATAGATTTGAATACATTTAGTAAAATTTATAATTTCCATAGTGAAGAATTTTAATTATTATAATAACTTTTATTTTCATTTATAAAGAGTTCAAAGTAGGTGCCTAGTAGTATGTAATTACAATAATCTAAATGCTATTTAGCACACTTAATTTTTTTAAGGAATGTTTTCAACATATTATTTTGAAATTACACTGATTGACACTTTAATTCACACAAGTTTGAACCAATTGTAAATGCTATTTGTTAATTTGATTGGTTTATGTTGTTACATTCCCAAAAGGTTTAAATTGCAATCTTCTATAACAAAACCCTCAAATATAATCACAACATTTCAATCAATCTTAACAGTTGAATAAATCTTCCTGACAAATATGCTTGTGCCAATGTATCCCACAGTCCCACAAATAATACCAAGTGCTAAGCTGAACAGAGCCATGTAGCCAAAATAGAATGTAGTTTGAAACAGACCATACATTTTCGTTTTGAAAATGAAGTAATAGAAAGAGTACAGATAAACATAGATAGCTGTACTACCAGCAGACAGGAAACTAGTCCACTGCCAACGATAATCCTCAGCATTCAACAAAAAGTAAGTGCAAACAATGGTAACACAGACAGTAACAATCATCAAGATTAGGAATACCAACAACATAAAGCCATACACATAGTAAATTTTGTATGCCCAGAATGAGGTGAATATGAAATACATTTCAATAAAGATTGAACCAAATGGTAATATTCCTCCTACAATAATGATTATGAAAGGTTCCATGAACCATTTCTTCTCTGGAATAGGTCTTGGAACAGCATTAATACGACAAGGATAATCAGGCTGACCTGCTAAATTGCGACCCAGAACTGTCCCTACTAAAGTTAGAGGCAGTATCACAAAAGTACAAATGGACATGACAGCTATCATACTACCAAATGGAATAGCTCTAGATGCATGATAGTACATGGCAATAAAGTTGATAAAGAAAGCTGTACCACAAACCAGCACAGGTAATAAAAATGCTGATAACAACATTTGTTTTATCCAAAGCTTACCCCCCATTCTAGCATAGAGAGATCCACCAAAGTACCCATTTACTGGAGATGTGGCAGCATAGATAAATATGGCTGTGGATAGTAGAGATCCCCTTTCAGTATACAGTTCACCAAATATTGTGAATATGATAACAGCTAATGTCACTACTGTGAGTTGGTATCCACTTCCAATCAATGCTGAAAATACTGGTAAATGTGGGACAGGTCGAAACACATCGCCATGGACTTGTTTCCAACCATATTCATCTCCCAAATCCTTCTCTAAATCATCCAGATCATCATCCTTTGAATATCTTGCATAGTCTTTTCGAAGTGTTCTCATGAGTATCATAGAAACAAGTCCTACTAAGAAAATAACCATCATGAAACTGTTGAAGATACTGAACCAATGAATGCGATGCTGGAAAAAGTTTGGATCCAAATATTTATCAAAGCGATCTTCAAAGTTGATTTTACTTTTCTTCCAATTAACTTCATAAGTAAACGGAATGTTCGCGTCGGGGGTAAGTAGCTCCTTATTTTCAGCTGTAAGGTTTACTTCCACAATTCGGTTACCATTGTATCCAATGTCGAATTTCTTGTGAGTCCAAATGTAGTAATGGTCCCCATCAATTTCGCCCACAGTTCCCCATATCGGTAGATCATCTATGTACATTTGGTACCAATAGTGATTCTTCACCGCATACACGAGTGCTTTGTAGGATTGATCATTTAGTTCGATAGCACAAAATTGCTGCGCCGGTATGTTATCCCCGAAGGTGATGTCAAGACCACTGAATTCCAGTTCGACTCCCTGGAGTGCTTCAGATAAGGTCTCATGGTAATGTCCGATTGTCACTTTAGTACCTACGCAAAAAGGTAATGAAAAATATGCATACGTCTCTTGGCGATTGTGATACGGCCCTACTGTATTCATCCAGAGCACCACTTGTTCACCATTCTTATAAGTATGTGTATGTTCGTCACAATTAACTATAGTCCAAAAAATAAACAATAAATATAAATATTTCATTTTTGTGCAGCAAATAACTTCTTAAAACCAATTAAAGTACAAGTAAAATAAACATAACACGTATGTGAAATGCCGATGTCGGACATCTATGGCGTGGTATTGCCACTAAAAATAATAAAAAGAAAGTTACTCTATATGACAACATAATTGATAGTACGTTATTGCAATATACTCGTTTAAAAAAAATAGTCTAAAGAACATTAGAAATTATAATAATTATGCAAATACAAAGTAGGTAGTTCTAGTAGAAGTATGATGAATTAGGCATAGTAGAATAGGTTTTAAAAAGGTTGTTATGGAAAACTAAAAAATCGCTTTACCTAAAAATATAATCAAGAATTAAAATTCGATCATAATATGAGGAATCATATAATTAGGACTTGAGGTCAGGAACGTGTACCATTTTATACAACTGTTTATTTGTTGACGTTGGAATTTAAATATTACCTACTAATTGTTTTAAAATGATATATTTTCTTGAATAGCAAGTATCACTTTTTAAATTGTGTCAAACTCGTCAAACGTCATTGTCAAGTCCCAAGTTCACAACAGTGAGCATTGTGAATGTGAATGTGGTGGAGTTTAAGGTTATGTACATGTTTATTTTCTGTTCTGTAGCTTCTTTCTCAGGTCTAACGTAAAATGGAAGTTGATTTACCGAGCTGTGTTCAGGCCCGACTTAAGTCGGATACCGGCGAAGAGACAGGCAGTCCATTAGATCTGCCATTAAATATTACAAGAGATCAACTGCAGCTAATATGTAATGCACTCTTACAAGAAGTAAGTAAATTGGAATGGTAAATAAAAGTCAGATAAAGTTTAATACGTTTTAATGAAGGTATAAACCTCACCCTATATAATGTAATATACAATATAAATCTATATTCATGCATTCAGTGATAACGACAGCCGAATAATTAATTTGTGATGAACCTAATGTTTCAACACAATGTGTAATAAATTATATACCTACTTATTTTAGTACCTACCTTTTTACAGGAAGACAAGCCATTCCTATTTTTCGTTAAAGATGTTGAAATTACAAACAGTTTGAAGGATGCACTTGATATAAAAAATTTGAACTCTGAAGAAGTTGTTGAAATCATATACCAGCAGCAAGCTGTGTTCAGAGTAAGACCAGTTACCAGATGTACCAGGTTAGTACCTTTTGTATGATACACAATTAAAACTTTTCACTGACTTGATAAATTATACACTGTTTGCAAAGAACTACTTTTTCGCAAATACTGATCTGGTAGAAAAATTAACACAGGTTAAATAAAGTATTTTTTGTTTTAAACAATAGTTTTTTTATTGCTTTTGTTTGAGTATTGCCATGGGTATCATTTAAACCTGTCTTTTAAAGTAGTAATTCAAAATGTGTTATGTTTGCCGCCTAAATTCATATTTGTTTGTCATTACAATTATTAAATCATAATTAATACAACTTCCAGCTCAATACCCGGCCATGCAGAAGCAGTAATATCAACAAGTTTCAGTCCATCAGGCAAGCAGCTAGCCAGTGGTTCAGGAGACACCACTGTAAGATTCTGGGACATTGCCACCCAAACACCATTACATGTGTGTAAAGGTGTGTAATACATATTAATTTTGTTTTATGTCTTCTTAATATGACATTTTTTTTTATTTGGTATATACAAGTAATACTGGATATCACTCTGGGGCAACACAAAACTTATGTGGTTGAAAGATTCAAAGAACATGCAATATTTTTATATACATTCTCTCAAAACAGGGCAACAGCTAAGTCATACCAATATTACTATTTATCAAAATTCTGTTTTTACAGGTCATGCCAATTGGGTTCTTTGTATAAGTTGGTCCCCTGATGGTTTAAAATTAGCTTCTGCCTGCAAACAAGGTCGGGTGATAATTTGGGACCCAAAGACCGGAAATCAGGTTGGAAAAACTATGGTAGGACACAAGCAATGGATCACTGCACTTGCATGGGAACCTTATCATAAGTATGAACTTTGTTTAATTTAATTAGTAACATATAAAATGTCTTTATTATATATATATATATATATATATATATATATATATATATTTTTGTTATGTTATAGAAATCCAGATTGCAGAAAACTGGCCAGTTCCTCTAAGGATGGGGATGTAAGAATATGGGATACAGTAACAGGTCTCACAGTGTTAAGTCTGACAGGACATGCGAAAGCAGTAACATCTGTTAAGTGGGGTGGTAATGGGTTGATCTATACATCTTCTCAAGATAGGACAATAAAGGTTGGTACATACAATTTTTGTTAAAAAACTTATACATATCAACAATCTTACTCTTCTTTGAATAGCAACTGCAGTTCCTGCATAATAGACTATTCAAACTAATTTGTTACTTAAGTTTACCGAAGTAAGATAAACTTAAGCAACAAATTCTCTGAATTTCTTGCATAATTTAATAATTTTACTAAGATAAATCATTTAATAATTAGGATTTTATAAATTTATTTTTAGGTATGGAGAGCTGATGATGGAGTGCTCTGCAGAACATTGGAAGGACATGCCCATTGGGTAAATACATTAGCTCTTAGTACAGACTATGTTTTACGAACTGGACCTTTCCATCCAATTACTGACCAACAATCGGCCGTTAGTGACAGTGAGTAAATATTAAAAACACCAGGAGCAATTTAACTTAAAACAAATACTACACATTTGTACGAGTTATAACTGAAAATAAAATTACATCACTTTTTCAGAGAGTATATTACAACAACGAGCCCTCGAAAGGTATGAAGCAGTATGTGGAAAGAGTGAGGAACGTCTAGTATCTGGATCAGACGATTTCACGTTGTTCCTCTGGCTACCTGAAAAAGAAAAAAAGCCACTTGCTCGAATGACAGGCCATCAACAACTCATTAATGATGTAAAATTTTCCCCAGACACAAGGTATTAGCTGTTGTCTTATTTCATGTCGGTACATACATATAGTTTTATAATGGCTTATTACAACCAATATAATGAGTATTATTTATGACCATCACTAATGTTTGAACAATGTCATCGTTAGTCCATGATGCTTTATAAAGTAATATCTCCCAATAGGTACTTTCTGTGCAATTCAATTCAATTTTAATGATGAAAGGGGTAAGAAACCTCAATATACAATTGTATTTTGTCATATTTTTTTTATCTTTATCCTATTCTAGAATTATAGCATCAGCTTCATTTGACAAATCAGTGAAACTGTGGGATGCGGCCACTGGCAAGTTCATAACAACCCTTAGAGGACATGTGCAAGCAGTTTATATGGTGGCATGGTCAGCAGATTCAAGACTTCTTTTGAGCTCCAGTGCAGATTCCACTTTGAAAGGTACACATTTTATAAAAACATTAGCATTACGTTGCAGAGACCGCCATTATCATAAGAAAAACACTGTTTTCGTAACCCTTTCTCTTGCTGTAATGGCGTGAAAATATTGTAATCCAATTCGGTGCCGAAAATTTATGTGTTGAAATAATACAATTTTTTAACAAAACGGCGTACGGTAGCGGTGTTCCTTGCCTGGCCTGAGCACTACCGCGTCCTCAGGCAAGTGATCAGTGGAGGCGATCCGCCCGGCCTAAGTCGAGGCCATGGTGCGAAGCGAGAGATCCTGAGAAGCCGTATTCTTTTTCTGCAAAAAAAAGCGGAGCACGAAATCGCGCATAGCTTTTCGCGCGCGCCTCAAAAAACCAATTGACCACCACATATCGGGTAGTCGGTAGAGTCGGAAATTCCTCTCGCTTTACCCTAGGCGAGAAACGCCATTTGATGATTTTCTTTCCTCAAAAAAGTATGCTACAATGCGACATTGACTTACATTAGGCCTCATTTAAAATTACAAACATTTTCAGCAAATTATGATTTTAGCTATTTATTCTAATATTGTATCCTTTGTATAATTAAAATACCTGTGAACATAATATTAGGATAATGTATATTTTTTACGATTTTTCAGTTTGGAATATGAAAATAAAAAAATTGGAATTGGATCTCCCCGGGCATGCTGATGAGGTATATGCTGTAGACTGGTCACCTGACGGAGCATATGTGGCATCAGGGGGAAAAGACAAAGTATTAAAATTGTAAGTAAAAATGTCTAATTAATTTACTTAGTAAAGACTTTATGTATTGTAATTTATATATATTTATTTTATTTCAGATGGCAACATTAAATGAAAACAGTTCAACATCTTTACATGGAAATACAACTTTATTGTAATAATAATAAACCTGTTACATACAATATTTTTGTAAAAATAAATAAATGAGTTTCACTTAATTTTAATGCTCTTTTTAACATTGGCTTTTATTCCTGATGCTTCCCCAGCATATCTTGTAATCTCTGTCCTGGGTTCACGTACGGCTCCCTTCCTCCTTATCTTAGCCTTCCTATATTTAAGCTTATGTTTAACTCTAGGGTTTCTTTGATCTTTCTTTCTATGAGGTGTTAAGCCTTTGTTTTTAGCAATTTGATATGTAATTTCACGTTTTTCCCCAACATCTTCGGGTACTATATCTTGTGATGAGGTAGAAGGTTTATTGTCTTCAGTCTCAATTTCATTAGGAGAAACATCATTGTCAGAGAATCCACTCTCTTCAGATTCATCATTGTTTCTTTGAACATCAATATCTTGGTTGGTTTTTAATAAATCATTTCCTTCATATTGATCTTCATCATCAGAAACACCAGTATCTTCACCTTCATCCTTTTCAATTGCATTTAGAAGTTTCAATTTCTTGGGTTTAGACTCTGGAGATGCTCTTCCTGATTTACGTTTCTTGTCATTCTTTTGGTTCCTTATTTCAGTTACATGCAACTCCAAGTTATTTCTGACAGCAAGTAATATTCTGTCTATTTGAGGTTTTATAACTTCCAAATAAATTGGTTCCATTTTATTTAACATTTGTCTATACTGGTATAACCTTTTTATTACAGGATGATTCTGAATATTAATTCTTTGACTTTTAAGTAGTAAATAGAAACTTATATTAGTACAGTAATTTAAAATGAGGTCATAATTAGTTTTGACAAATTTTGAGGCGGGACAAGTGGGAAGCTTGCCGTCTTTGACAAGTTCCAGAAGGGGATGTAAATCATCCTTTGCAACTGTTAATTTAGATTTGAAATCATCAATAAGACCCGCAAATTCAGGACTTTCTTTCTCAAGTAGCTGTAACTTTTGCCTTTTTGACATTTGACTTAAATCACTTTTTATCACAGTTTGTTTTTCTTCAACATCAGTGACCTGCTTTGTTAAAAAGTCTAGTTTAAAATCTTCTTCTCCAAGCTGTTCTAAGAGTCTTTTTTGAATATCTTTCGCTTCTTTTTCTTCCATAAGAGCTATTTCTTCATCATTACCAAAACCTCCATAGTCCTCATCAACATAATCAGTTGCATAATATGATCTTTTCTTTTTGCCCCAAGCTTTTGAATCAGGTAAATCATCATCAGATTGTTCTTGTCCTTCTACATCACTATCTGCTATTCCTAAATCATCCTTTTCATTGTCAGAGTCACCAGATTCAGAAAAAGCATACATTTCTTCTTCACTCTCTGAGTCATCATGTTTTCTCTTTCGCACCTTCTCCAGTAATCTTCTCTCTTTAGGTGTATATTCATCTTCTGAATCGGAAGGTTCATAGTTACCCTTCATGTCAAAATTAGACTTGACCCTGTAATAAAACAAAATAGACATTTAAAGTTAAAGGCTTAAAAATAATCATTTGAATATGTACTGAGCATTGAATTACTTCACAGCTGGTGACAAACCTACAGTCAATGAGATACCACCAAGTCTTGTTGCCAGCAAATATAAAGAATTTTATTGATCTACAGGTGACGGTCAGAAGTTATATTCAGTGAATCCCTAGTTGAAAAACATTAATGCAGATTAATAAATGTGAAAACGGATAACTGGGACGATTGCCATCTTTGATTTCAATGACAAGCAGCAAGGCATTAAATACCACATTGTGTCGTGACAATATACTTAGATATAATTTATATGACAAATGTTTAAAACTTATTTGTATGGTTTTAAATGACAGTAAATAATAACTTACTTGATTTTATCTGCCATTATTCCTGTAGATGTTGGTTGAGAGCATAGAAATGAATTGTAGAAGAGCCGTAAGGTTAGTCCATTCCTTAGGATCGTGTTTTATCCTAAGCTTTATATGATGTGCAGACAACGAAGCGAGTTAAAAAGCAATGGAAATATAAACAAAATTTAGTTTTTCAGTAGGTAGAGAATAAAATTATTTATTTTAATCCGTGCCTCGTTGTTACAATGCACAAATGTACGATGAATGAATGAATGAATGAATGAGTTTAACCGAACGACAGACTCATTCAGTGATTAGTTTTTTAATTTTCTGATATTTATTTGATAGCTTGTCTTTAAAGACAAATTGACTGATTTTTTTGCATTTTCAACTTAGATAGTTGTGACCATTCGATTTTTACTAAAGTTATAATCAAATCAGTTACGTACAAAGTTCAAATTTGAAGGAGTACTATCAGTTAAATGTATTCAGATGTAATCATTACAATTTGTTACCAATTTAAACCATTCATCAGTAATTTTTATCTATTCCGATAAGATAATCACCGCACTTTTTTAATATGACCTTGATCATATGAATCAATTTATCTTTTTTTTTTTTTTTTATTAAATTATCAAAAACAATATTAACAGGTTTTAACTGGTTCAGCATCACTTAAACCTCTCGGGTTTGTGTGTGATACTATTATACTATTCTATTCGTCTCACACAATAATTATACATAAACTTAACATTAAACAACTTTATAACAAAACAATCAATCAATCAACACACTGCCAAATACTTTCCAAGTAGTGGGTACTTAGAAAATACTCCGCATTGTGTACCTAAAATGTACTCCGTAGTGTTCTGTTACATATTTGCGAAGAAATGTGTTCTTAATTTATATTTTATGTTATTTTTGTTTATAGCATTACGTATATCAGTTGGTAAAGAATTTAATAATCGAGGTTTTAGATATGCACTCGTTCTTGTGCCGTAGAAATTTTTTGCAGATATGGTGACAAATTTTTTTTGTGCTACGCTCCGCGTGTATACAGGATGACATTTTTCGAACTTTATTGACTCATTGAAAAATTGTTCTTTTAAGATGTTAAACTTGAACTTATCATGTACAGGTAATGTCCTGCAGTGCTTGAAGTAATCAAGGTCATGTATTATGGTAGATTTGACTTTAGGTAAAGTTAATAACTTTAATGTCTTGAGTTGTAGTGCAAAAATCAAATCCAGGTAGGTTTTAAAAGTACGTCCATAGCTATTAACATATCTACGCGCATTACTTGACAGTGACTGTCCTTCGGCTTAAAAGACTTGTAACCAGGCCATAAATCCCAAAAAAAAAGTGACAGTCCTTGCTAAAAGGAGGGAATGTGTCACTGTCAAACTGTCATGTCAAGTGTCATGTTGATTAGATGGTTGGCTTATTTATTCAGATTCGGATTTTAGTCGTTGTGGTCCTTTCTATGAAATAATATAAAGTTAATCAGTTTTTTGACTTGCTCATTATTGAAAGTAGCGCAATAAATAATCATTAGCTACTATTTAGAGTAATTATGGCCCTAATTGGGATCCTAAAGCAATCCTTCACAATACTATTATTATTATGCAAGTTGATAGGAAGTAAAGAATATTCTCCCAGTGCCAATGGAGATCAAAAACTCAGTGAATGTAGGCGCTGTAAGGTATTAACAGAATCTTTCAATCACTGGCTTGATAAGACTTCTAGAGGCAAATACGAAGGAGGAGATGCCGCTTGGGAGGAAGCTAAATTAAAATCATACGCACGCAGTGAAGTTCGCTTGGTGGAAATCCAAGAAGGTTTATGTTCGGAACTGAAAATACATCAAGATGCATGCTATGCTGTTGCAGAGGAATCAGAACAAGTACTGGAGAAATGGTGGTTTGATGTAAATTCTGTTTCCCTAGATTTATACACATGGCTTTGTATTGAAACACTTCAACAATGTTGCCCCAGTAATCATTATGGTCTTGATTGTTCTCCCTGTCCTCAAGATAAATATAATAAAATTTGTGCTGGTCATGGCAAATGTGATGGAGCAGGCACTCGGAAGGGGAATGGTACATGCATCTGTAGAAAAGGATACAAAGGAGTGATATGTGATGAATGTGCTACAGGATTTTACCAAACAAGTGGTAGTCTTTGCAAAGCATGTCATAAAGCATGCAATGGGTGCAATGGTGATGGTGCTGCTTCTTGTGAAGCATGTAATGAAGGCTGGGAGCTGCAGTCCGGTATGTGTGTGGATGTAAATGAGTGTGCATCCTCTGTGTGTGAACACCATCAATATTGTACCAATACAGAAGGTTCTTACAAATGCTTTGATTGTGATACTTCATGCAACACTTGTGCTGGTGAAGGGTCTTCAAATTGTACAGCATGTGAACCTTCCAAAGTGCTATGGTTTGGTATGTGCATAGACAATGAACTGAAACAAAATATTTTAATTAGTACTTATAAGCGAGTTGCATTATACATTGGTTTACTAATCATAACCTTGTTTATATCTCATACCTCTAAATCAGTAGCTTCAATTGCAATATTATTTATTGCAGTATTCATGTATTTTTCAGAAAGAAATTTGAAAATGAGTTCAATGGATGTATTATGGCAAACATACTTTAATTTTAGTTAATGTATGTCATAGTATATTTAAATAAATGTGATCAACTAAAAAACAATAGCTTATAGATAGGGAATTTAACTTATCATAAATTATTTGCACCTTGCATTTTGTAGCTGTAAGCATACTTGAATAGTGTAGTAATACATCCAAGGGGTACCAATAAATTGTTATATTTAGAAACACTCTGTATTATTTTATATTTTCCTGATTTTATTTATTATATATTATTAGGATTTTGTAAAATGATCCCAATGAAATACTTTAAAAAGGTGTATTAAAAATACATTTTATTGCAAAATTTATGTAACTACATTTTAGTGTCATTTATATACAAAAATTAAATACAAAGATTTGGTATTACAACCAAATTGTGGAATACTATATAATACAGCTGCTGGTGCAGAGATTTTCACACAAACTGTAAAGCTTATACAGCAAACATTAACATAGGCCAGGTTGTGATAAAATAATTAGAAGACATAATAATCATAGCCCCAGCATACATTGCAGATTACATGTCAAATCTTTAACCCATAAACAAGGTCAGAAGTAATTATAATATAAAGTATTTAAATAGAAAACTTACATAGAACAAGCTACAAGGTAACATGTATTTAACTTAAGGTATGTATTACATTAGTAGCAACCATTCATTGCAGTTTGTGAAAAGGTCAAGTCACTATAAACACCTGCATTTGAGACCATCTATTCATATTATCAATTTTGAGGAAATATTTTAATGTTATTCTCTATCATTATCAAGAATAAAAAATTGGCAACAGTAATTTGGCAACAGCAAGCACAGGTATACATACTCAGTCTGACAAAAAGATAATTCTTAGTACTAAATAATGACTGATAAATCATTGTGCTAATTTGTTCATTTCATTAAATTGATGAATTAACGCAACTGATAAATTGCTTAATGTTATAATGAAATCTTAAGTGTTTATAATTAAACCTAAATATGTAAATATAAAAAGGCAAACTTGCTGACTAACATGAATCATAGTTCTTTAAGTATCAACAAAAGATCTCCACTTACAAGAAATACTTCATTAAAACAAAATATAAAATAATTATATTGGAAAATAATAAGTAACAATTTCAGATACAATACTCAGAACTTTCATTACAAGTGACTTTATCATGCATATTGATTACACAATAGAGTTTGCAACAATCACCATGTATGATAAACAAATGAACAATTCTATTCTTACGAAAATAAACCAGAGGAAGAATACATTGTTTTGTGATTCATATACTTCGAATGCAATTACGTGATAGGCAGTGTTCTTTGGTGAAGAATAAACATTATATTATGTATTCCAAGACGAAAAAAACAATAAAATGTGGGATCACTTAACTTAAGGCTTGAATATATTACTCAACAACATAAACTATAGTAAACCAAAGGTTAATTGCCTCTCAACAAAATCAACACAATAATATTGAAATTAATATTGTTCTAAGAATTTTTTTGGTAAAATTTCCCTTTAAGTACTAATATAACACCATTCATCTAAGCCTATTTGTGAAATAGATCGCCTACATTGTTTAAACTAGACATCGAAATCGATTTTTATGTGACACTTACTACTGCAGGGAACTTACAAGAGTACTAGAAAGTGGTGCTGATATAACATAAAGCTTCTAATCATACACACGACTAGCATGTAAAATGCTAATTAAATGGAACAATTGTTCATAATTATGTCCAAGTAAATCAGTGTCTATAATAACTACAACTGACTCAGTAATCACGCGATCTTGGAAAAACCATCCAATACACTAAATTTTACCCTTTCGATATGTTAAATAATAATGATGTGATGCTGAACATTAAAAGTAAACAATTCACTACCCTCAACTCAATTCACTCGTTCGTGGTATTTTCGATATAAACAATTTTTTTGAACTTTACAAACATTCATTTTCATTTGTATGATTTGATATCTGACCAAATCAAATGTCACCAAAAACTGAAAATAATCACTACCACTCACAAATTTATTAGTATCAGTCTGCATCAATTTATGCTAATGATTTTATTACCATAAATTATTAATTTTATTTCGGTCCCTCTTCATAATACTTTTAAACATTTATCGTTCTGATTCATTCATTACTTCATTTCACACAGCTGAACAAATCTACTCCTCCGCCTCTCTAATGCGATGTCAGCTACACACATCACAACCGCATTTATTTATTTTTTCAGTTTTAGCCACATGGCACGACAGGACCCGAAAATGTCGTATTCTGTGGTTTATTGTAAATGTTATCTTCTATGATACATCTATGATCAGTCTGTTGTCATAATAAATGGAATGTATTTAGTTGAATAAATTTCTCGATGCTTATTTACCATTATACTTGAAATGAGAGAAAGCCATCCATCCAGCCATCCATGAGCAATTAGGGGCATAATCTTGTACACTGTATCTTTAGCAGTTACACAATTGTTATGATATTTTTTATCTTTTAGTAATTTATAAACCATTGTAATTGCATAATCCACTTTTCCTATGTGCATTAATCGGCATAAATAATTTGAACTTAAAATTACTCAGAGATAAAAACTGGCGAC